TATTCGGTTCCAGTTACTGTTTTAGGCTCGTGACATACACTAGCTCTAATAATCTTACAGCAACCCTTGAAGGTAAATAATAGTAACAGTAAATACTTCTATAGTACTCACTCTGTGCCGGGCACCATTCTACGTGCTAACCCATTTAATCCCATACAACAACCTCATACGATAGGTACTGTATTGCCTGTTTATAGTTGAAGAAGCTAAGGCCTAGTAACTTTGGTTGTTAAGGTTAAATAACTTTCATGAGATCACACAGCTAGCAGTTAGTGGAGCTGGAAGGCAGTATGGTCCCAGAGCTTTTAATTACTTTGCTTTTAATCACTTTGCTATACTGCTGTGCTTTTAATCACTTTGCTATATTGCCTCTATTGACAAAGGAACTAAAGCTCAGAGAGGTTAAGTAATTTGCCCAAGATCACACAGTAAGTGGCAGATGTTGGAGCCAAACCCAAGCCTACCTGACCCCAGAGTCTGTGCTCTCCTTCCTACTCTGAATTGCCTCTCTTGCTACAGCAGGGTTGTCAAACTTTTCTGTAAAGGGCCAGATAGCAAATATTTTAGGTTTTGTGGGCCATAAACTCTCTGTTGCAACTTGGAGCTGTAGCAAGAGAGCAGCTGTAGACAAAATGTGAATGAAAAAGCATGGCCATGTTCCAATAAAATGTTATTTACAAACACTGAAATTTGAATTTCATATAACATTCACATGTCGTGAAATATTGTTCTTTTGATTTTTTTCAACCGTTAAAAAATGTAAAAACAATTCTTAATTCGTGGGCCATACAAAAACAGATGTTGGGTTTGGCCCGCGGGTGAACCATAGTTGGACTACCTTGCTTTATAGTGTCATTACATCATAGAACAGTTAAATATGCGTATATTTGCCTCTTTGCTCTCTCTTTGCGGGAACAATTCAGCGTAGACCCCAGACATGCATAGCCAACTGAGAAAACATGAGTCCTTCAGTAAGTAAAACATTCCTTAGGAAGAGGTTCAGAGACAATGTGACCTGCCTTGAGCCTGCCCCCGTGGGGGTTGCACCCTCAACTCCAAGGAGTTTTTCAGAATATTCCTTCTGACTACTTTGAGAGAAGTTGTGGCAACTACATTTTCCCATCACCTTAGTTTTGAGATGAGATTTTACTGTCTTTTAATGGTGCTCAGGGCAGTTGCCTGGCTGGCTGGTCTTGCTTTTGACTCTGCGCTTGGACCAGATTGAGAACTCTATAGACCTATGATGACAATCCGATTATTGTGCTCCTGGGAGTGGAAGAGACCAATCAGGGCAGGGTGGCTGGGAAAAAGGAGAGGAAGGGTGACATGGTCTCTACTTGGCCTGGGGGTCAGAGGGGCAGGGCTCACAGGCTCAGGGAGCCTTCCAGGCTTAGGGTACCAAGATAATGGGAGGCCTCAGGGCCTGGCGATGTTCCATTTTAATTCAACTGTGAGGGGGCTAAATAGGCTTTAGGTTTAGGAATGTAAATACCGCATAGAACCTTGACTCTGGAGAACACGTATTAAAAGTTGCAAACCAGCATCTTGCAAGTGAACTTTCAGAACAAAATCCATTTGGAATAGATATGATCTGTGTATAAAAATAAACTGATTCAAGAATGATTTCCTTTTGTGATTTTGAATGGGAATTTAATCCTTATTTGTAGCAATTATAAACACGCTAAGGGGAATTACTAAAGTAGGGTTGAGAATTAGTGAAATAAACTCTTGCAAGATGAAACTTAAGATAAAATGCTACTTGAGAAGATGGTTACAGCAGTGGCAGTAACATTTTAAAAATACTTTTTACTGAAGTTTAATCGACATACAGAAAAGTGAACACGTCCTAGGTCTACAGCTTGATGAATTTTCACAAACCGAACACACTTGTGGAACCAGCTTCCAGATCAAGACAGCACACTTCTTGTAAAATATCAAGAACTCTTTATTTGTAGGGAGAGAATAGAAGTAGGGACCTGGTTGGAAGGGATGGCTAGAAAAACGTCTTGAAACTGGGCTTGCTTAGGAAGCATAGTTTTATTTGAGATGCCTTGGGTAGGGCTGAGGGAATTATGGGGTGCGGGGGACACGTGGAGCTGCTGCACCTTTGGGGTCAGACTCTGTTTAGGTCTAACTTTGCCTCCACTATTTCCTCGCTGTGTGACTGTAGGCAAGATTCTCAACCTCCTGAAGTCTCTGTAGTTGTGAAATGGTAATCTCCACGAAGACAGCAACTATCTTTTTCACTATTATGCTCTCAGGACCTGTCACAGTGCCCACCACATAGCCCTAAACAAGTGTTTTTTAAAATGAATAAAATAACTAATGAATAATACATACAAAGTACTTGTTACAGTCCCTGGACGATGCTCAATAACGTAAATAAAATTCGAGAAATGACCCGTTGACCCACTAATACCACTTTTGTGAATATATCCTCCAAGAAAATTGTCTACGTAAAAGTAACATATATGTGTGTGTTTTTGTGTGTGTTTATACATATGTTTGTGTGTGTGTATATATATATCCATAATATATATACATATATGTATATGTGTCTTTGTGTGTGTGTGTATATATATATAATGCACAGTTGTCTAATTGTGGTGAAATACTGGAACTACCTCAAAGACTACTAACAATGGGGAATGGCTGTGCAATTAATGAATTGTTGAAACAACGAAAACTATTTATCTAAAACCTGGCAAGTGTGTAGACTATGTTGAAATTAAAAATTTTAAAAATCTGAAAAAATGTTTAGAAGATATATATAAGTATATATTTATTAGAGAATGAAAACTGAAGAAGAGTTGGAGTGATAAAATTTAGAGATGGTCACGGTTTTTTTCTACTAAATTGCTTGAGATTTTTGGAATTGATTCTCTTTCCCTCAAGAAAAAGAAAGGAAATGAAGCACCCAGCCCCCTTGCCAGATGGGGTGCTCTCTGTGGGTTCAGCCATCCTGAGCAAGCCTGCTCTTGATGTGGTGTCCCTGCTAGGCTGTGGAGGGGTCACGGATGGAAGGCGCTGGCGGTAGATGAGTTGCTGAGGAGAATGATGATTTCCTAATCTTCTATGTGTGTTAGATTCACGACGGAATCAATTTCTGTGATGAGTGAATTGGCTGCTGCCAGTGCAGGTCCTTTGCCAAAGCTCTTCTGAGGAGGATGACATTTAGATGCATTCTCTGTGATTGATAGGCCATCCTTGGCCACTACCTGCCATGGGTTCTTATTTTTGAAAAACTATGAGGATTTTATCAGCATTTTGAAGTAAACCACCTCAATCAAAGCCCAGATAACCTAAAACCTGCAATAATAATAATTAGTTAGTAATAGTCATAATTTCACCTTAGTTTTATATCGTGCTCTATCGTTCTGAGGGGGCTTTCTCACAAAACAAACAAGAGACTATTTCCAAACATACAAAGTCTTGTAAAAGTACAAGCACAAATTATCGCTATGTTGTTAGCCTGATATCGCTATGTAAGTCCACCTGATCCTTACATGCTCCCTGTGAGGAAGGCAGGGCAGGTCTTATTCCGGTTCTGCAGATGAAGGACAAGCACAAGAGGACCGGCAGTGTGATGATGGCTGCGTTAGACGCGCAGGCGCAGAGGGTCAGGTGATCTAAGGAGATTTTTCAAGAAGAGGTGGGAGTTGGGAGGTGAGTGAAGGGCAGGTCTTTCTAGGCAAATAGAGAAGCACAGAGTGTGTCTGAAGAAAGAGTGATAGTGAAGAGGGGGTATCTGTTAGTTGGGATGAGAATTGAGAATAAAGTGAAACCAGGATTTCCTCCTGGACCGCCCTCAGCTCTCCAGAAGAACTGGATTAGGATGCCTCCTCTCTAAACTCGCCCTTTCGTCTGCCTTTGTCCCTTTGCTACGGTAGACAGAAGCACCCGACACATTTGCCTTCACAAGATGGAGCCCTCCTTTCCCCTTCCTCTGTCTGTGTGTGAACCATTGGGGCCTGTTGAAGGCGTCCTCTCTGTGAAAATGGTGAAAAGAGGAGAAAGGGAAGAGAAATCGAGGTATGGAGACCTGAGAGGTTCTGGGATTGAAGGTTCCATAATTCCAGTCTGATTTAAGTCCTAAAAGGTTCACACAGTGGCATCACTCATGACGCTGTCTGAAGTCACTCTTGGTAACTCTGCTGTGTTGAGAGACATATAATTGGAGCACCCGTCAGTTAGCCACTTGTGAAATACCACTGAAAACCCGCTTTTATTTGTCACCCAAAGGCCCTTTTTGGGAGGATCTTTCCCTTTTGGAGAAATTCAACTGAAATCAAGCCCATCAGCCTTCCACACTGATGATGTGACGCAAGCTCTGGCTTAGTACATGTGGCACACCATCTGATCTGGCATATCTATATAGTGCATTGCTCTAACCTGGACTGCAGCTCCTCCCTGCCCCTCCTCTCCCAGCTCCATATTTAGCCATCTGCTGACGGCTACGCATGTCATCAGGGCTTATCATCCATCTTTACTGCTATGGAATAATGCAGAGGTTTATGTTCTTGTACTCACTTTGGCAGGCGATAAAGATTTCTCCTTTGGCCTCGGTTTTAATAGAACTGCAGAGAAAGCTAATCTTGTCTAGCCACTTTACAATTTGGGAAACTGAGGCCCTGAGAGTTGACTTGATTGTGCCTCTTAGTGCCAGAACTGGCTGGGGAATGAAGGTCACTTGACTGAACAGAGCCTTTTCTGCATTCTGACTCTTTGGAGCTCTCTGGGTGGCAAAGCTCAGACACGAATTTCTTTGTTCATATCATATTTTTATTTTTATGCTACTAGAAGAAATCCTATATATGTATTTTTTGTAGTCATGGCTGGGTATAAGATACACAGAGCACTCTTTCCAAGAGAAACCTCTTTAGTGCTACTTCAATTTCCCTACTTATAACTGATAATTGTTTATCATTACTTTTAATAATTATTATTTAACATTGATATTAATAATAAGGACTACTTGCATGTTTGCTATGTACATACAGTATGTTTACATTATGCACTATGCTAAGGGTTTTATACATCTAAGCGCACAATACTTTCAACAACCCTGTGTTGTAGGTATTATTTCATTGACTTTACAGAGGAAACTGAGGCGTAGGGAGGTTAAGAAACTCCTCCAAGATTGTCACACAGGGAGTTGGTTGGGCAGCCTGAATTCAATTCCAGATCTACCCGATTTTAGAGCCTGTGTTCTTAACAGTTTTGCCTCGTTAACTTCCTTTTGCAGATATTTACTCAGGAAATGTGGCTTTACTCAATCTATTAGAAAGATTTTATGTAATAACCAAAAGCCTGACACATGCACATTTTTCCTAGTTCTGGTTTTGCTACACTGAGGTCAAAATCAAACTTGAAAAATGTCTTAAGAGGTCTTGGCACTGGACTAAGTACTGAGGGGGTCACAGATGCATCTGGTGAAGTCATTCGTAGGTCTAAGGAGCTAAAGTCTGAGACCCAGTGGAGCTCCCAAGGAGATCTTGCTCAAAGGTCTGGTGACCAAGAGGTTTCCAGGACCATGGTGTCTGAGAGTGACCCAAGGTAAGTCTTTAGGTAGAGTCCAGCAGAATATTTGACATCCTAGCTGCTATGCTATAGACATTCAATATTTGGCATGTTAAATAAATAATAGTGGAAGTATAAAAATATGATATGCCTCTCTATAGATCCCACGTGCCAGGTTCTGTGCTAAGCCAGACTTTCCACACACTGAATCTTTACAATAACTGCATGAAGAAGGTACTTTTCTTATTCTCATTTTTATGAAGAAACCAAGGCTCAGAGAGTTTGAGTACCTTGGCAGAGGTCATCCAGCTTATATGTGGTTAAAAAAATGAGTGCATGAAAGTCATGTGAATTATTTATTTGATTAACTCATTTGCAAAGGTATTATCTTTAATTAAACAAACAGAGACAGTAGGTTGACAAGGATAAAAATGTCTTGGAAGGGAATGTCAGGATTTAGAGGAGTGATTTTTAAAACTTATGTTTTGATGCAGACCTGTAGGTCTCCTTTACATTACTTTACATATGACATGTCAGGAAGATCGCCAGTGGGGGAGGTTGTGTTAATAACCTTTCCTTTGAATTTTGATCTGAAAGACTTTTCCTTTGAAGCTAGGCTGGCCTTGTGATGAGGTCCGTCAGCAGACGGACGCTGTCTCCAAGGCTGAGCTCATTGTCTGGAGCTCTCTCACCTGCAGTAAATGAGAATTTATTTGATCCTTTTATGAAATTCAGATTCCATCATATTTATGCAGCCCTGTTTAAGTGGCAGTCACCAAATATGGCTGCTTTTAAGAAAGTCATTTTGTTTAACCACGGGCCTAGCAGAGTTTCTGATACATAGGTAGCTGTCCAGAAATGTTGAAAGAAAGAAAGAATTTAATCTTCACAACATGTCTGAGAAGTGGTTCCTAAATTTATCACAATCTTGCAGATGTGCAAAATGAGGCTTGGAGATCAAGTAACGCGTTCTCAAAGCCTTATTGTTGTATAGGTAATGGAGTCTGATTTCAGATGTAGAAAATGCTGAAGACAGTGTCCTTTCCATTACATCTGTAGCCAATTTTTTGGAAAAACCTCAAGGGAAAAACCATAGCAAATTTTTAGAGTTTTGGTCATTTCTTTTCTCTGACCTCAAATTCCCACATGAACCAAGGACCGGCTGATTAAGCAATAAATGAAGGGAAGTGCTTACAATATCTGTTGCTTATTACATTTCTCTTTTTTGCAGCTCCCAAAGTGGCTGGGATGCATTAGAAACTGAAGCGACGGAGAGCGGTGTCGGCTGCCTTCCCCACTTCTCGGAGCAGAAGCCAATAGAGAGCTGTTTGAAAACATCTCATTCACATACCAGGTTGCTATTGAGGTCTTTTTCATGTTATGATCAGAGCGGTTGCTTGTGTTTTTATCACTAGGCTGATTTAGAGATAAAATCAGCTTCTGTTTCTTGACTGGGTGGAGTTGTGGGTGCATGTGCTGGGGGATAACAGATCCAAGCCTTCTTTGTTGGGGGGAAGAGTGGGTTGGGCGAGTGGGGTCCGACGGCTACGCTGAGGTGGGTGTCATGTTTAATCAGTTTGCCAATGAGGAAGCGCCCCGTCATCAGAAAAGAAAGACTTAGTTTCCCCCTTTCTCTTTCTGTTCCAGTTGAAGACTAGCCCTCGGAGGTTTTCACAGTAGATCGTGCGTCTTCCTCAGATGGACGGGGAGAAGTAACATTCTGCAGATTGCTGTCAGAGGTCCTGAGTACGCCAACCCATCTGGTTTTTCTCCCCCTTGTTGAATGGCCTTTGCTTCAGCAGCCCACTGAGGGCTCTTTTCCTCGGGATTCTGAACGTGTAACTAAGAATGCAGGCTGGGAAGATGCTGAGTTCCATCAAGTGTGTGTTGGTAGGAGACTCTGCCGTGGGGAAAACCTCTCTGTTAGTACGCTTCACCTCAGAGACCTTCCCGGAGGCCTACAAGCCCACAGTGTACGAGAACACGGGCGTGGACGTCTTCATGGACGGCATACAGATCAGCCTGGGTCTCTGGGACACAGCTGGCAATGATGCCTTCAGAAGCATCCGCCCCTTGTCCTACCAGCAGGCAGATGTGGTGCTAATGTGCTACTCCGTGGCCAACCATAACTCTTTTCTGAACCTGAAGAACAAGTGGATTGGTGAAATCAGGAGCAACTTGCCCTGTACCCCCGTGCTAGTGGTGGCCACCCAGACTGACCAGCGGGAGGTGGGACCCCACAGGGCCTCCTGCATCAATGCCATAGAAGGGAAGAGACTGGCCCAGGATGTGAGAGCAAAGGGCTACCTGGAGTGCTCAGCTCTTAGCAACCGGGGGGTACAGCAGGTATTTGAGTGTGCTGTCCGAACTGCCGTCAACCAAGCCAGGAGACGCAACAGGAGGAGGTTCTTCTCCATTAATGAGTGCAAGATCTTCTAAACCCCAAGAGACTTCACCCAACACTCATTTACTCACCCTGACGGCTGACGGGGACAGGGAGAGCAGGCAAGCCAGCAAGGGTTGATGCTCTTTCTGGGCACATCCCAAGCAGCGTTTCCTTTTGGATACAGTTGTTGATGGGACTTGGCCACTGGATGTTTTTACTAAGTACACTCTACAAATGAACTCTTTGCCCAGTTCAATTGGAAGATCCCTTGGGAAGCTATAATGACTATTCCGTGTTCGATTAAAAAACTAAAATAGTCTGCATAATTTTGGGCAATGAAGTGAGTTTTCCAAAGAATTCCCTATTTAAAGACACATTTTATTTAAATAATAACAAAATGTTTAGCTCTTGTTTATAATTAGTTTTCACACTTGGGAAGTCTTTTCCTTCATACTCACAAACAAACTTCTGTATGTGTGAAATAATCTTCTGGGGCTCTGCCATATGTTTGTAGTGTTATTTTCACCCAAAGTAGAAATTTTGTTGAAGCCACTTGCCTGCTAGATTTTACTAGATAATCAAATTTTGAAATGACCATAAATTGATCCTCACAATTAATTTTCCACCCAGCTGTTATTCAGAGTTGTATATAAAACACAGTTCAATAACATAAGATACTTTAAAACTGCCTAATGATTTTAAACAGTTATCACTATATTTCTCTGTAATTCTAAAAAAAGCATTTGTTATTTGCGGTCTTACCTTTCACCCAAAGAACTCCAATTTTACGTGCTAAGTATTCCTCTCTCATTCACCAAAACAGGTTGAGGGAAAACCTTTCAGGTACAGAATCAAACTGCTCCAAGTAATTGCAGCAGAACTTGGAACAGAAGTGAGAGAGTCTCGCTCTCATGTCAGGAACTGCTGCGCTTTCCCTTCTGACACCGCAGTTCCTATTTGGCTGCGGGTCTTGTGAAAGGGAACGGGCTCAAAGTTCTGTATGATAGTAATTTAGCGAATTTGTTATTTAAGCTCTAAACTGAGCTGGCATGGTAACATAATTTATTAATTTTAAGATCTAATCAGAATAATTGAGAAGGTGTCTAGATATATATGTGTGTGTGTCAGGGGAAAAAATGGGTCATTCCAGAAGGATGTGAAACCACAGAGAGAAGGAGTGCTGGTCTTTGGGTGATCGTATAGATGTCTAACTGGTTAGAAGCACTCGCCTTATACAGTGACAAGAGAACAAAACAAATTTTTTTTTTTTAATTTTTAAGAAATTTTACTATTTCATGACTATGAAGCACTGGAGTGAAAAAAAAATCACAAATTCTAAGCACAGGGAACAGGAAGACTGTAAGGCAATTGCTTAGATAATAAAAAGTTATCAGGGGAAATACTGAATAGATAGGGACACACACACCCCATACTCCATTCTATCTAATAGCTTAAAAGCAATGGTGTTCATCATCTGTTAAGTTGAGAACAGAGGACTATGTAACTTGAGGAAGAAATTGTGCAGGCTGGCACCCAGGTCTATCACTTACTCACCTAATCAAATAAAACTTAGAACCACTCTGAACCACGTTTATTAAAGTACATCATTGTTACAGTATAACATAGCCGTTATATACAAACGGGAAGGCGGGTAGCATAAATGACTATGATTAGATGTATGTTGACATAACCAAACTAATTTTTCAGTTTCCTTATATAGTCGATTCTTTATAGCTATAATCAGTGTCAATATCAAATTTCTGCTCATCAGTACACTGTTTTCTCTCTCTCCTCTTTTCTCATTCACATCTCATAAAACGCCTGGGACCTGAGCCTTAGACTGGGGGCTGAGGTTCCCTCAGTTCCCTGAGGCCAAGGTATCTACCTTCACTCAGACATCTCCAGCTCTCCAGTCCTGTGGCTTGTCCTCGCCTCTGTGTCACCCGTGTCCCTGGCTTGAGAGCCCTATATCCAGCTCGCTGCACTGGGCGTCCAGACGGTTGGAGATCTTGAAACCTGACCAAGCAGAGGAGGTGATGGGAGCTCATATCCTCTGATATCCTTGTTGATCCTTGTCCTCTCCTCCAACACGCAGTCTTAAATAATCACACAGATTTTCCTTCAGGCCAGTCTTTAGGGTGGGGTGGTATTTAACACAGTAGTGGGAATAAATTTCTATTCACTAAAATTGGCTGTCCCCCAAGCTTTTCTTTCTTTCTTGTTGAAGGGACGGACGTGGCGGGGGTGTGTGTCTGAAAATGGGACAGGCCCAGGGATCTGATTCTAAGTGAGGGAAGAGGAGGTGATTCCATGGCAGAAGGGGAGGAGGAAAGGAAAGCCAGAAAAGGCACAGTCAAATGGCTTTGCCTTCACCTGGGCAGACACACAGATGAGCCTATTGGCAGGAGGCAAACTTAAAGTTGCCCCTGTGAACCCCCACACCTGAGAGCCGGAATCCGTGTGTAAACCCTCCCCAGTGATGGGACCGGGCAGAAACTGAGGCCAATAGATGTTTATCTCCCCTACTGGACTATGAATTCTTGAAGGCGCAGTTACCTCCTGTGCGTCTCAGTGTTCCCAGGGCCCCAGCACAGGGAAGGAACCATAGCTAAACACAGCTGTGTTGAATTGGAGAGAGCAAGATAGGAATCGGGCTGCAGAGTGGGTACGGAAGGAAGCCAACCCTCGTCAGCCTTGCAGGGGTAAAAAGTGAAAATAGGTAATTTTATTGGAATCTACGTAATGTGTGTTCTACATATATTTGTTTCTGCCTTTCTAGACTCAGGCATATGTTTCTTATACTTCAAAACTCGGAGTACCTTTTTGTAGACTATTGTGTGTCAATTCTTAACTATTCCAAGTAGCAACATTAAATATGCTCTTGTTTACATTAAAGAGTTGATTTGAGTGGTTGAGTAATTCATCCTATTCTGTTTTACTTTATGCTGGCTGTCTAAATGGGGCAGCAGAATCTAGTGTGGTGAAATTAGCCGAGTGACAAGAAAGCTGAAAGCATCCTAATGAGTCAAGTTTGTTGAGTGCTTTGGATGTGCCTGGCGCTGTGCTAAGCACTCAAGTGTGCATTATCTCACCACATGGTGTGTGGGTGGCCACACTACAATGAGTACCATCTTACACGGGGAAACTGAGTCTCAGCACATTGACGTGACTGGTCCAAGGCCATATGGCAGGTGAGTGGCAGCACCAGGACTCTCCAGCAGGTCTGACTCTAAAGCTCTGCTCACTGTGTATGAGCACCACTGTGCCCCACTTCCTCCCAGAGCAGCCTGACCGTAAGGCTTTGCCACATCCGATCTCATGTCACCTTGCAGGCCCCACCCCCACCAGTCAAGTGGCCTGTATTTTAAAAATTATTTTTAATAAAATATTCCAAGTCTGCTCTTAGTCATCCTCTCTTATTTTTCTTTCTGGCAATGAAAATGAGACCTGCCTAAATCACAGAGCACCATCATTTGCAAAGGTCCCTGCTCCAATCTTTGGCTTTTAAGTATAATTTCATAGGTTGATTGCATGTGAATTGGCAGAGATGAAATACATCATGATTTGATGCTTTAAAAAGCCTGGAAAATAGTCTCTGTTTCCTATCTCACTTTTCCATCCCTTAGGTTTTAGATATTTCCTTAGAATGAGGGAGTGACAGGGGAGAGGAGAGCCTGGTTCTTTCCTTTTAAGGATTTCGTACCAAGGAAGGGCATTTTACCCAGCAGGAGATGTGATGGAAGGATTCCAGTTTGGCACAGCTGTAGGGCCATGATACAACAGAGGGGACAGGGCACCTGTGAGTGTTCGTCCCCAACGCCAAGGCAATCCTATAGGTTGAGTCAGATCAGAACAACTCAAGGGTAGGGCCTTATTTTTTCTCAGGCTGTACCTCTCCTGATAAAGCAAAGAAACACAATCACTGGCCAAGATCTCAAGCAGTTTTTCACAAGGAAAGATGAAATAAACCATAGAAAGTACTTGTGATATACATTCACAAAGAGTACTTGATTCAACCTAAAGTCCACATTAACTTTTCTGGTCAATTCTAAAATAGACCCTGACATGAAACTTAATACTTAATAGTAGATAAAGAGCCATAGTGAGAGAGTAAGACCAGTCAGTTGTGACGTATTTTGCAGTTAGAAAGTCTGGGTTGTGTGTCTTTCAGCCTCAGTTTCCCTATCTTAAAACAGATACTAATTCCTGGGTTATTCTAAGAATCAGTACAATAATGATTGCGGAAGTGCTTTATATCTGGACACTATTGTTCAAATAGTGGTGTCATTATGTTTTTGGCGGAACCCTATGCAGATACATAGGGTGAATATTCCAGATCAGATTAGAATATTCTAGAACTTGTCTATAATGGCCAGCATGATGGGAAACCCATGCAGAAGCAAGCTCCATTTGTAGCAATGTTAAATAGAGTAAGATGAGTAAAATGACATAATGATAATAGCAACAATCTACATTTGAATGCCTACTGGTTCCAGGCCCTGTGCTAAGCACCTTACATACATCATCTAACTGAATTCTCAGAACATGCTCAAAAGGTAGATATTATTCTCTTTCTGTTGATAAGAAACTGAGGCCCAGACAGATAGATGGAAGTATTTCCCTCATACAGTTACTTTTCTTTTTTTTTTTTTAAAGATTTTATTTATTTTATTTTTTCCCCCCAAAGCCCCAGTAGATAGTTGTATGTCATAGCTGCACATCCCTCCAGTTGCTGTATGTGGGACTCGGCCCCAGGATGGACGGAGAAGTGGTGCCTCGATGCGCACCCGGGATCCGAACCCGGGCCACCAGCATTGCAGTGCGCGCACTTAACCACCAAGCCACAGGGCCGGCCTACAGTTACTTTTCAAAATGTCCCAGTTTTACCACGCAATTTTGGGGTAATTAAACTTGACCAGCTAAAAATTATGTCATGAATTATATTTAATGTTCATTACACTTGCTAATTTAGCTAAGATGGTGAGAATGATCCCTGTTACACACTGTAGGGTACAATGATGATCAGGGCTCAGCAGCCTTCCTGTGTGAGCTTCCATTTGTCATTCTTCCCACGAAAGTCTCAAGTAGTTCATATCCCACTGTCCTGGTGGTCTCTAGTGGCTGTCCCCACTGTGCCCCTTTCCATTTTCCACCCTTCACTGCCCTCCTCTGTGCCCAGGAGCCTTACCCTGTGGACTGTATCACCCAGGATCTTTTCCTGGCTGGCTTCCGTTTGGGTGCAGCCAGTGGGAGACTCTGCCTGGAATTCAGAGGGCAGGAGGAGAGAAGAGCTGGGTGTTTTTTTCCTACTCTTTTCCTGCTTTGGTGATGTTTCTCTGTCAATAGCTGCGAGTCCCTCCATGGCTACAGCTTTCACTGGGCTCCAGAACAGTATTTCCTCACCTAGCCCCTCAGCCCTAAAGTAGGTAGTGGCTTCCTGCTGGTGCTAGTCTTGGGATGTAGCAATATTCCTCATGTGTTCCCTTAACCCAGACCTCTACAAGTAGCACCTTCTTTCAAGTCTCTTCATCTCAACCGTCTGGAATTAATTTGGTTTCCTATGAGATTCTGACGGATACACTCACTAAATATTAAAAGTCATCTGTATGTTCTGGCATTAAGTGAGTACTCAAAGCTCTACTGAAGGAAATGGTCTTGGCAGCCTGGGTAACTGCCCTGTCCTGAGCCTCAAAACCCAGGAAATATCACTCTCTACATCTGTTTGCTTGTCAGAGAAAGGAGGAGTATGTTGATTAATTCTAACCCGAATAAGCAAAAGAATAGTTCTGGGATAGCAATGTTCAAGAATTGTGGGTCTTCTAATGACGTATTTATATTAAGAAGTTCTGCTATTATCCATGATATATAAAGAACTACTATGACTCAACAAGAAAAACAGCCCAATTTTAAAATGGACCTTTCTCAGAAGAGGAGCTATGCATGACCAATAAACAACAGAAAAGGTGCTCAATCTCACTAGTGGTCAGGGAAATGCAAACAAAACTCACAATGAGATATCATTCTCACACCACCATATTGGCAAAGAATTAAAAAGTTTGACTATCGAACACCTGCAAGGATGTGAAACAACAGGAAATCTTATATGCTGCTTATGGGGGTGTAAATTGGTATAACATTTTGGCGTTACTTAGTAGTGCTGAATATCCTATACCCTTGACCCAGAAATTTCATACCCTAGAGATACACTTGCACAGATTTCCTGGGAGCCATGTATGAGAATGTTCTTAGTAGCATTGTAGGTAATAGCAAAAACTGGAAACCACCCAATGTCGTTAACAGAAAATGGCTAAATAAATTTTGGTATATTCACACATGAATACTATGCAACAATAATAATGAATGAACTGTAGCCATATATATCAATATAGATGAATGTAGACAATGTTGAGAAAAAAGCAAGTAGCAAAATAATA